AAAAAAAAAATAATATGAAAACGCTCTTAGATATGGATGTTGAAAGTGAAAAGAGAGAGAGAGAGAAAGAGATAATAAACTAGACGAGAAAGTGTTATAACGAATGATAAATACGGAAGCAGCATAGTGTGATAAAAAAAAAAGCAGAATAATTAAACGAATCTAGATTTTTTTTTTTGTTCTGGCGTCTTGGGGGGGAAAAATGTGACGAGTAGCAGAGGATTAGAGTAAAGGTGGCTCTGGCTCCCCTGTGGCTCAAGGCAGCAGAAGGAGCAGTAATAGCCAGGGAAAGAACTGTTGTAGACTCTTTATAATTTGTCTTTTGATTCATGGTTTGGTGGCGAGGTCTCTTGAGAGGATTGGTTTTGGTAGGTAGGTATAAGAGGTGGTACAGAGCCACTCACTCATAAGAGGAAAATAGGAGGTCTTAGAAGAGGAAAATAAGAGGTTTTAGAAGAGGAAAATATGAGGTTTTAGAGGAGGAAGGAGGAAAACGGGAGGTCTTAAGTGAAGAAAGAAAATAGGAGGTCTTAGGAAGGAGGAGGAAAATAGACCTAAGGGGAAAGGAAGAAAATATGAGGTCTTAAGGGAAGGAGGAAAATAGGAGGTCTTAGGTGATGAGGAAAACAGGAAGTCTAAGACGAAGGAAGGAAATTGGAGGTCTTAGGGGAAGGAGGAAAATAGGAGGTCTTAGGTGATGAGGAAAACAGGAAGTCTAAGACGAAGGAAAGAAATTGGAGGTCTTAGGGGAAGGAGGAAAACAAGCGATCTTAAAGGAAGGAAAAAATATGTGCAGATCGTATAAGAAACATTGAAGAAAGTCGTCAAGAAAATTCAGCCTTAAAGAAACCATTACAATGTTAATAAGAGAAGTAGTTTGTGTGTGTGTGTGTGTGTGTGTGTGTGTGTGTGTGTGTGTGTGTTCATTACGTTCTTAAATGAAGCAACACGTGAGGGTGAAAGAATGTTTGACTGTGTAATGAAAGTGACACTTGATGAGGTAACGTAAAAGAAGCTCTGGCGTTTATTGCATGTGAGTGTTGCTGCTTTGTTGGTGAAGTGTGAGGGTGATGTTGTTTTGTTGGTGAAGTTATGAGGGTGATGTTGTTTTGTTGGTGAAGTGTGAGGGTGATGTTGTTTTGTTGGTGAAGTGTGAGGGGTGGTGTTGTTTTGTTGGTGTGAGGGTGGTGTTGTGTTGGTGGTGAAGTGTGAGGGTGGTGTTGTTTTGTTGGTTGTGAGGGTGGTGTTGCTTTGTTGGTGAGGGTGAGGGTGCTGTTGTGGTGAGTGTGAGGGGGTGATGTTGTTTTGTTGTTGGTGAAGTGTGAGGGTGGTGTTGTTTTGTTGGTGAAGTGAGGGGTGGTGTTGTTTGTTGGTGAAGTGTAGGGGTGATGTTGTTTGTTGGTGAAGTGTAGGGGTGATGCTGTGTTGTTGGTGAGGTGTGAGGGTGGTGTTGTTTTGTTGGTGAAGTGTGAGGGTGATGCTGTGTTGTTGGTGAAGTGTGAGGGTGGATGTTGTTTTGTTGGTGAAGTGTGAGGGTGATGTTGTTTTGTTGGTGAAGTGAGGGTGATGCTGTTGTTGGTGAAAGGGTGATGTTGTTTTGTTGGTGAAGTGTGGGTGGTGTTGTTTTGTTGGTGAAGTGTGAGGTGATGCTGTTTGTTGGTGAAGTGTGAAGTGTGGGGTGATGTTGTTTTGTTGGTGAAGTGTAGGGGTGATGTTGTTTTGTTGGTGAAGTTGTTTGATGTTGTTTTGTGTGGTGGGTGATGCGTGAGGGTGATGCTGTGTTGTTGGTGAAGTGTGGGGTGATGCGAGTGATGTTGTTTTGTTGGTGAAGTGTGAGGGTGATGTTGTGTTGTTGGTGAAGTGTGAGGGTGGTGTTGCTTTGTTGGTGAAGTGTGAGGGTGGTGTTGTTTGTTGGTGAAGTGTGAGGGTGATGTTGTTTTGTTGGTGAAGTGTGAGGGTGAGGTTTTGTTGGTGTTGGTGTGAGGGTGGTGTTGTGTTGTTGGTAGCGTGAGGGTGGTGTTTGCTTTGCTGGTGAAGTGTGAGGGGTGATGTTGTTTTGTTGGTGTGAGGGTGATGTTGTTTTGTTGGTGAAGTGTGAGGAAGATGTTGTTTGTTGGTGAAGTGGGGGTAATGCTGTGTTGGGTGGTGTGAGGTGTATTGCTTTGTTGGTGAAGTGTGAGGGTGGTGTTGCCTTTGTTGGTGAAGTGTGAGGGTGATGCTGTGTTGTTGGTGAAGTGTGAGGGTGATGTTGTTTTGTTGGTGGTGAGGGTGGTGTTGTTTGTTGGTGTGTGAGGGTAATGCTGTGTTTGGTGGCTGTGAGGGTGGTGTTGCTTTGTTTGGTGAAGTGTGAGGGTGATGTTGTTTTGTTGGTGAAGTATGAGGGTGGTGCTGTTTGCTGGTAAAGTGTGAGGGTGACGCTGTGTTGTTGGTGAAGTGTGAGGGTGATGCTGTGTTGTTGGTGAAGTGTGAGGGTGATGTTGTTTTGTTGGTGAAGCAGCATGGGGTGACGCTGTGTTGTTGGTGAAGTATGAGGGTGATGCTGTGTTGTTGGTGAAGTGTGAGGGTGGTGTTGTTTTGTTGGTGAAGTATGAGGGTGATGCTGTGTTGGTGAAGTGTGAGGGTGGTGTTGCTTTGTTGGTGAAGTGTGAGGGTGATGTTGTTTTGTTGGAAAGTGTGAGGGTGGTGTTGTTTTGTTGGTGAAGTATGAGGGTGATGCTGTGTTGTTGGTAAAGTGTGAGGGCGATGCTGTGTTGTTGGTGAAGTGTGAGGGTGAGTGTGGGGTGTGCTGTGTTGTTTGTTGGTGAAGTGAGGGGGGTGACGCTGTGTTGTTGGTGAAGTGTGAGGTGATGCTGTGTTGTTGGTGAAGTGTGAGGGTGATGCTGTGTTTTGTTGGTGAAGTGTGAGGGTGATGCTGTGTTGTTGGTGAAGTGTGAGGGTGATGCTGTGTTGTTGGTGAAGTGTGAGGGTGGTGTAGTTTTGTTGGTGAAGTGTGAGGGTGATGTTGTTTTGTTGGTGAAGTGTGAGGGGCGGATGCTGTGTTGTTGGTGACGCTGTGTTGTTGGTGAAGTGTGAGGGTGATGCTGTGTTGTTGGTGAAGTGTGAGGGTGATGCTGTGTTGTTGGTGAAGTGTAGGGGTGATTGTTGTTGAAGTGTGGGGTGATGTTGTTTTGTTGGTGAAGTGTGAGGAGTGATGTTTTGTTGAGGGTGAGAGTGTGAGGGTGATGCTGTGTTGTTGGTGAAGTGTGTGAGGTGATGCTGTGTTGTTGGTGAAGTGTGAGTATGCTGTTGGGTGATGTTGTTTTTGTTGGTGAAGTGTGTGGGTGACGCTGTGTTGTTGGTGAACTGTGATGCTGTTTTGTTGGTGAAGTGTGAGGGTGATGTTGTTTTGTTGGTGAAGTATGAGGGTGATGCTGTGTTGTTGGTAGAGGTGTGAGGGTGATGCTGTGTTGTTGGTGAAGTGTGAGGGTGACGCTGTGTTGTTGGTGAAGTGTGAGGGTGATGCTGTGTTGTTGGTGAAGTGTGAGGGTGACGCTGTGTTGTTGGTGAAGTGTGAGGGTGACGCTGTGTTGTTGGTGAAGTGTGAGGGTGATGCTGTGTTGTTGGTGAAGTGTGAGGGTGATGCTGTGTTGTTGGTGAAGTGTGAGGGTGATGCTGTGTTGTTGGTGAAGTGTGAGGGTGATGTTGTGTTGTTGGTGAAGTGTGAGGGTGATGCTGTGTTGTTGGTGAAGTGTGAGGGCTACTCTGGATTATCTGTAAAATACAAAGCAGAGTTAGAGAGAATGATTATACATACTAATTTGATCTGCTGGAGAAAACTATTGGAATTAAGTTGTTCAAAATGCCAAATGTAATATCATCATCATATATCATAAAACGTCAACAGCTGGAGGTTGTAAACAAATGAAGTATTTAGTAACGTTATTTATCAAGGAAAAGTAGAAATGGATAACAGTTTAATTGAAGGGAGGAGAACAGCTAGGGGGGGGGGGCCTTGAGAGCTATAGTTAATGGAGAACTCTTGAGTGTATTGTTAAGGAGAAACTGAGACAACTTGTGGTGAGAGTAGTGATTGGTTCTGACTGTGAGAGACGTAAATAAGAATGAAGCTGCAAGAAAAATATGTAAGTTCAGCAAATTCCTGTTATGAGTCGAGTGAATGAAAGCGTCAGACTGTGTGGGGTATACGGACCTTCCACAAGACAAGCAGGAGAATGGTAAGGAAGATTTATAACAGCACGAACGAAGACACGAGAGCTGGAAACCCACAAGTGAGGTCTTTCTGTGTAGCTGATTTTGTGAGACCCAGAAATATTTCGTTTGGTGATGCCTGAAAAAAATGAACTGCCTCGTAAATAGTGACAACCTAACAATACCGAATGAATAATAGTAATCATCATGTGTAATAATGTCACTCATAGTAATGTTTCTCAACCCGCTCCGTCACTCGTCATTCAGTAAAGGAAGAGACACACACAGACAGACTGACAAACACAAACACAAAGAGAAACAGACACACATAGAGACACTCAGACTAACTGAGAAAGAGAGAGAATGATCAAAAGAGAGAAAGAGAAAAAAGGAGGAAAGGAAAATCAAAACATTACGTTACATGTACAGGTATTCCAAGTACCGTGTGTCTAGTTCCTCATTCACTGGTCGTGAGGCCATGTGCCGTGTCACCATGTCAACAAGGAGAACAGAGGCGTGCGTACTTAGCTATCAAAAGTGCCTTGACACGCTTGGTTACGCTGTGCAAGCACCAACTTAGTGGTGGGGGTTGTAGGTGTGTGTGTGTGTGTGTGTGTTGCTTTTGTGTATGTGTGGGAGTAGTTCTGTTCGTTTACCTTTTCACGAATCTCTTTGGTCTCTCGTCCACACACACACACACACACACACACACACACACACACAGGTAAACAACGGAGCAAGACCCTACAAATCATACCTATGGAAACCGTAACTCAACTCCGTTCCCTTTCCTCTCTCTCTCTCCCCTACAGGATTATCTAAAGGATACTACAAGGACCCGAAGGACTATGACTACACCGAGTATTATTACTATCCGGAGTTAGGTGCTGATCCCCCGTCCTTCCTGGCTCGACCTCAGATGTTTACAGTGGAGGTGGGGCAGTCAGTCATCATCCCCTGTGACGTAGAGAATTCAGGTCTGTTATAGGTTTAAATATTGTTCAATTATGGTCACCTGAAAGTTAGACCATCCCTTTTTAATTCACCTGGAGATTAACCATCCTAAGGCTAACCTAACCTAACCTAACCTAACCTAACCTAACCTAACCTAACCTAACCTACCATAACCCCTGAGTTGTTGAAGTTTATAAGTATTGTAATTATTGTGTTTACAAGTTTACACCACTATTATTTTACAAGCTTCTGGAGATAATGTCCTAGAGTTCACATAAATGATCGATGTGTGTTGTAAGCGTTACGTTTATTATAAATTAATTCACCCAGGACAACCACCATCATCTGAGTACCTGGGCTGTTGTGGTGTATAGTGGAGATACAATAGTTCCTCTCTATAGCTTATAGAAGTATACCTGTTGATTTGTATACAAGTATGTGAGATGCAGGTTTTAGGGAGGCCTTGGGACTCGGGGAGATATTTCCAAGAGTTGAAATAAAAATGTCTTACTACACACAGGTACGAGGTTGATGCCCTCCCCCCCTCCTCCTCTTCTTCCTCTCCGCACCTCCTCCTTCTCTCACCTTCTGCTCTTCCTTCTTCCTTCTCCTCCTCCTTTTTTCCCCTCTCTTCCTCCTCCTCCTTCCTCCTCTCCTCCTCCTCCTCCTCCTTCCCCCTCTCCTCCTCTTCCTTCCCCTCTCCCCTCCACCTCCAGGCTCAAGATTTTGTGTCCCCCCCCTGGCCAACACAGACAACCCCCTCTTGGTCACTAACACGATAGAACCCGAAGGTAACTTGATCATGCCGGGATATTGTGACCCAGTGGTAGATAGAGCAACGCCCTTGAGTCATCTTAGTGACTTATGGACCCTGAGGACCATTCAATCATAGTAAATGAGATAATCAAGGAAGGGAAAAGCAATGATAATGAGACTGAAGGGAGGGCGGAGAGATAAAGAAGAAGAAGAAATGCAAGTATTGATGGGGTTATGTTGAATGAAGAGAGAGAGAGAGAGAGAGTCTGTCGGGTGGAAGTGAGGCGAAAGGAAAATAGCGATTGGAAGCAAAGTGGTTCGTGGAATAAAGCTTTTGACTAGCCTGTAGTTTCTTCCTCAGTAGTGCTCACACGGAGCGTCCTCACCTGTCGGTCTGCCACATAAATTGAGTCAGCTGTGTGTTGTCATCAAAGGTGGCGTGCACAGCGGCCATGGAGCAATCCAATTCCTGTTATAGTTCAGTCACGGGTCATCAGGGAGAAATTTCTTAGGTGGGAGTGTCTCAAATAGACTGTATGTGTGTGTGTGTGTGTGTGTGTGTGTGGGAGATGTGTACACTGTATAACGATGATGATTATTATGAAAATGAGGATGATTACAATAATGATTAGGATTGATGATGATAATGTTGATGGTTTTAATGATGGTTATAATGATGGTGGTGATGATGATAAAGATAATTGAAATAATAATAATAACAAAGGTGATGATTGTGATGCATCTAGATATGATCATTATTACTTAAACATACAGTACTCGCACGTCCGTCATCACTCGCGGTCTTGTCAGGTTTAAAGTTCTTGACTCTGACCTCTTCATATGGGCAGGTTTATTTCTTAACTATGGCGGCGTGAGACCCAAGGCACGGTGCTGGTACAGAAGGGAACAGGTGACAATGACCCTTCTTCTTGCCTCAGCTGTGTGGTTGTAGGTCACAGGTTCCTTAGTTCAGTCAAGCCCCGGTATAATTGTGAGGGTTGTTAACTGGTACATATTTGTTGTTCTTTGCTGTTATATTATGTAACGTACACTTCGGTCTTATCTGAGTTGGGAATCCTCAGTAGGGAAGAACAAATTGATCATTAAGAAGCTGCCGGCTAATGGGGCCAGCGAGAAACTCCTGTCTGTCGGGAACGATAAAGTGACCCCAGACCCGCGGATGACAGTGGACGGGACACGCCTCACCATCTCCCACACCCGCCCCCGAGACGCCGGCACCTTCATCTGCCAGTTCGACCTGGAGCCGCCCCTACAGCTGCGACACACACTCGACGTGCAGTACGCGCCTACCGTCAGGGCCTTAGTGCCACCTGAGCAACGTGTGGCCAAGGGTAACAGCGTCTCCCTGGAGTGCAAGGCGCATGGCAACCCTGAACCCATCATCCGCTGGTCTCGTCAGGAAGGTCCTCTACCCTCGGGGCACCGCAGCCAACAGGTCAGGCATAACATTAGAGATGAACTCATTTTCACATGATCTAGTGTTTTCCTTCCACTCATCCATAAGATATGACTTGACTTTATTGACAAATAACTATTATTGTAGCGACACAACATTATTAGTTGGTGTTTCCTTACTATAGAAATTTCACGTTTTAGTTAATTGCAACGCTGAAGCAGTGCCCCCCCTCTCTCCCCACTGTAGGGCGAGATGTTGACCCTGGAGGCGGTGGACCGTCACATGGAGGGGACTTACCTCTGTACTGCCGACAACGGTATCGGTGAACCCGCCTCAGCCGCCGTGTCCCTCACCGTGGAGTACCCGCCGGAGATCACGACTGAGCAGGTGAGTCTGCTTTGCTTGTCACACACACACACACACACACATACACGCGCTCGATTCTAAAATAAAAGTACAACAGACAGTAGTTATGTCATCAACAGTCTCTGGTCCAGCTAATATGCCGGGAACTTTTTCTGATTGGTCGTGGCAGATCAGTGTGTGTGTGATGGCGCTGTTATGGCACTACTGTCGGGTGACAACTTACCACAATGTAATTCAACTAACGCTGGAGGTAACCCGGCAGGTGTTACGGTGTAGAGAACTCAAGAATATTTCATTACCATTAAACTGCAGAGTTTTGTGGACTTTTTATTTAAAAAAACGAAAAAGAATCTTCCATCAGCTAATAGTTTATGAACCACTTCCGCGGTGGGATGATTGGATAGAATCTTATTTATTTATTTATTTATTTATTTTATTTTATTTTCATTCTCAATTTCCCCTCCTGGCTGGGATAATGAGGTCACAGTTTTTGGTTATATTCTATAAGATATTCATATGTTTTTATTGTTTCCCTTCTTTGTTTTTCAGTTTTGTTTTGTTTTTGCCTTTGTTGCCGCGCCGCCGACTGGTCATAGTTATATAACCATCTTTACGTCATTAAATAACGTTTGATGTTGACAAAAAACTGAGCAATCAGGAAATGAGTTGTTGTAAAATAACTACAGAGGTGACTCACATCCTGGACTTAACAAATACTTAAACTTGTTCAAGAGTAAAAGGGACGTCGGTATTTAAGTCTGTTGTTGTTGTTGTGTTGGTTCAGGGCATCGTGAGGACAGGGGAGGGGGACACCGTGGAGCTGGTGTGTGTGGTCCATGGTCGACCTCCGCCAGACGTGATGTGGACCCTGGACGGCCGTAAGCTACCAGACACCATCATGGACACCAAGCTACACCAGCCCCAGCAGCCCTCACATACCCACACCACCCATGACACCCACCTCAGCCAGACCCACTTTGCCCACCGCCACACGCTCACCATCAACAACGTCAAGGAGAAAGACTTTGGCACGTATGTATGCATCGCTGAGAACCCCCACGGCCAGAAGACTGCAGTTATACAGATGACCAGTGAGTGTACCTTTGTTAACACCTGATCCTGTGTGAGTGTACCTGTGGTTAACACCTGATCATGCGTGAGTGTACCTGTCTTACCTGTGGTTAACACCTGATCATGCGTGAGTGTACCTGTCTTACCTGTGGTTAACACCTGATCATGCGTGAGTGTACCTGTCTTACCTGTGGTTAACACCTGATCATGCGTGAGTGTACCTGTCTTACCTGTGGTTAACACCTGATCATGCGTGAGTGTACCTGTCTTACCTGTGGTTAACACCTGATCATGCGTGAGTATACCTGTCTTACCTGTGGTTAACACCTGATCATGCGTGAGTGTACCTGTCTTACCTGTGGTTAACACCTGATCATGCGTGAGTACCTGTCCCTGTGGTTAACACCTGATCATGCGTGAGTGTACCTGTCTTACCTGTGGTTAACACCTGATCATGCGTGAGTGTACCTGTCTTACCTGTGGTTAACACCTGATCATGCGTGAGTGTACCTGTCTTACCTGTGGTTAACACCTGATCATGCGTGAGTGTACCTGTCTTACCTGTGGTTAACACCTGATCATGCGTGAGTGTACCTGTCTTACCTGTGGTTAACACCTGATCATGCGTGAGTGTACCTGTCTTACCTGTGGTTAACACCTGATCATGCGTGAGTGTACCTGTCTTACCTGTGGTTAACACCTGATCCTGCGTGAGTGTACCTGTCTTACCTGTGGTTAACACCTGATCATGCGTGAGTGTACCTGTCTTACCTGTGGTTAACACCTGATCATGCGTGAGTGTACCTGTCTTACCTGTGGTTAACACCTGATCTTGAGTGAGTCGTCATGAATCATTAATAGTCAAGTGAAAGTATTACAAGACAATTTTTCCTACGAGATCCTTCATCACATTAAGAGAACAATGCACCAGAAAGCTTCCTATACAGACAGTTATATTTCACCTACTACGTAGCTTTATCCACCCAACTCTCCCCATAGTAAAGCGCCTCATGCAGTCTTCTTCGACCAATAGGCTTGCCCAAGCCACCTCAGCTGACGAGCAGCCCCAACGGCGGGGAGAGCACCAAGTACACCCTCACCTGGGAGACGGAGAGCTACTACCCCATCACCGAGTTCCTCATCAAATACCGCAAGTCACACCTAGGGGCGTGGCAGGTGAGTACCTCCTTCCGTGTATCCAGCCACCTTACTCGCGTGTTCCCGTGATGTATCCGGCAGGTACGGCTTCTTAAAACTGTGTCAAGAGATGGTATACTGTATCAGGGAAGGTCTGTGAACAGCTCAGGAAATGATTTCCTCCTTCCCCACTTTCCAGTGTCCAAGTCAAATGAAATTCGGGATTTACAGGAGATTGAAGGATTTATTGTCTTAGACTCTTGTTGCTCCAAGTCTTACAGCAACAGTTGTGATCCTCATATTTTATATTTTAACCCTAAATTTGGCTGTATAAATAATGGTAATTCTGACCCTTAGGTGACTTTGATGACCTTAACTCTTCATAATGATGATGTTGCCCATTCCCCCGCGTTTCATTTTTTTTTAATATACACGTGACAATGTCTGTTAGCTATTAATGGTACCTCAGTCTGCCACTACGGAAAATTAAGATTAACTAATATGTTAACGTTGCTCAACTCCACCTCTAGTCTCATGACCAATACTTTGAGGCAGCCAGGTATCAGGACATTATCTAATTCAGTATGACTCGGTTAACAAGTTAGTGCAGTGTGACCCATTTATCTCCAGTATATAACATAAGACTCGTCCCCAGGCTAGTAGCACACTGTTGGCACTCTGACCTCAGGAACATAATGTCTCTCCCTGTATATCATCATGCCAGGCTTACTGTGACTCACCCAAAATGTATCATGACAGGTGTATCACCCAAAAGACGTGATGGAACCGGAATTATTAATACCTGTTGGTGTGGCCAGAGACTGCACCTTACCCCAACCCCTGCCTCAAACACCTTCCCAGCCTCCTCCCTTATCACAAAGGCTTCCCCGGCTATCTTCATCCCTGAAAAAATCCAACGAATTACCCTGTCCTCAGGATCAGTACATCCCTAGTTACTTGCTATCTAAAACAAACATCCCCATAGCTCCGTCCTCCCCAGAACCAGCACCTACCCATGGTCAGCAACCCCCCCCCCCCCCTCAATAACCCTCACAACTGTAGGCGTGTCTCCCTTCAGCAGAGGAACCACGACATGGTGATGGCTGACTCCTGGGAAAGTGTGTCAAGGACAGTTGAACCGAATTCAAGGGCCACCCAAGGACCTCGCCACGCCCTCGCCTACACGCTGGATGCGCTGGAGGTGGCCACGGACTATGTTGCTGTTGTCAGAGTGAGGAACAAGTACGGCTGGTCGGCTGAATCTGACAACTTCTCCTTCTCTACTAAGAAAGGTGAGTCTAATTAGTTTACTACTGCTATCATTTAAGTGGGTAGTACTATCTACTACTACTACTACTACTACTACTACTACTACTTCAGTTTCAGTTCTCAGGTTAATTTTCTGTATTTTCTTATATTTCAGCCATGGCCGTCCAGCAGTCAACCAGCGGGGCGAGAGGCCAGATGAACGCTGCTCCCCTCCTGATGCTGCTGATGGTGTCGCTTGTCTTCACCATGATGCAGGGCAGCACCAGCAGCCACTATCTCCTAGGAGAGAGATTTCCGGCCACGCTCGCCGTCAGTCAGTCTCGTCAATGATGATGTGCAAGACCAGAGGATTACCTTGTGGTCTGTCCATGGCCACGTGTCCGCCATCATCAAGTCTTTTTCTAGATTTTCTCCAGCCAGTTAACCAAGATGATGATTTACAGTAGCTGATGACCACCAGGAGACGACCCTGTTGGTGTGCCGGGAGGAAGTGTACATATAGTTGCCCGCTGGCGTCAGAGAGCGAGAAACTCTTAGATATGTGTTTTTACATTCAGTCTTAAGGTAACTTTGATATCTTCCGGAGTTGTATACTATGAACGCCACAGGCTGCTGACCACACCGAGCGTTGACAAAAATAGCTTGTGAAAAATGAGACTTGCGCTTGTTATGTCCAGCGCTTACGTCCGGACTGGCGTTGTGGCCGGATCCCGTGTTTGGACAGAAGGTGCTTGTGGCCCATGCTCTTTAGTCCAGTGTTGATCTCCCGCGTGACGGCTCCCACTCCATGATGTGATTGATGGAAATAGTCCTTTACTGTAGTGAATCCTTCTCAAATATCGAGTGTCATTTCTGTTTTTACCGGAACAAAATATTTTAAGTGTTTGCACACCTGGGAAATATTATATTATAACCATCGTCCTACTGTGCTCTTGTGGGTGTTACGCCACTCTATACAGATCGGTGTACAACTGCTGTGTACACTTTTTACTGATGTACATACATGTGTCAACAGATGTCACAAGGTTGCAGACACAAACAGCTATCATACGGAATAATTTCATGACTGTGCATGTGTGAACAGCTGTCTAAGAAACAGGTGTCGTGAGCATGCAGGCGTGAGCAGCTGTCATAGTGACCAACTGTCTTGAGTGTACACAATGAACGGCTATCGGAAGGAGTGTATGCCATTAGTATGAAGACGTGAATAGATGTCACACGTACATGTCTTGGGTGAGCAGATGTGAACAACTGTGAAAAAACCCCGTCATGCACAGGTTAGCAGATGTCACAAGTGTGCAAAAGTGAACAGCTGTCATAAGGAACATCTCTTAGAGTGTGCAGCGTCAACATCTGTAGCAGAAAAGCAAATGTCATAAGTAAGACGAACTGAACAGCTATTACAGATGTCCAGAAGTGAACAGTCGGGAAAAAAAAGATGCCATAAGCCAACAGAAATGAACAGTTATCATAAGAAGTAGACGTCTTGAGTATGCAGACGTGGACATATATTACAAGTGTGCAAAAGTGAACAACTGTCGTCACAAGTATACAGAATTGAACAGCTGTCACAAGTGTGCAAAATTTAACAGCTGTCAAAGATGTGTAGAACTCTACAGCAGTCACAATTATACAGAATTTAACAACAGTCACCAAGTGTGCAGAATTGAACAGTTGTCACAAGTGTGCAGAATTGAACAGTTGTCACATGTGTGCAGAATTGAAAAGCTGTCACAAGTGCGCAGAATTAAACAGTTGTCACAAGTCACATGTTTTGAGTGTGTAGACGTGAACATCTGCCAAAGGTGATAATTATTAAGATGTTTCTTTGGTCATCAACAGTTTGTGTTTATATAAGAGGATGGCGTTAAACCACTGGCTTCTTATGTGTGTTTTTGACGTGTTCGTGTCATGGTGGATTTGCTAAGAAATACTGTATTCATTATTGCATATTATGACGAGGTGGTACATCACTGGCGGGTCGTTTCAGGGGTTCAGTGGTGAGATGCTGTGTGTGTGTGTGTGTGTGTGTGTGTGTGTGTGTGTGTGTGTGTGTGTGTGTGTGTGTACAGGAGACGTTAATCAAGTATCTACCAACGTGTTGTTAACTATGAGTCATTTAGGTGACCCGTGGTACAAATATCACCTGGGTTGGGGAAATGAACGTGTACCGAACACAGGTTGACATTTGAGAATTGTTTTTAAGAGTCACCTTAAAGGCTCACAGTTGACATGAGACTAATGATTTTCGGTCCCGTTAACCATTCACGTCTCTTGTACGGACAAAGGTTCAAAAACAGTAAATCAAGTCACATTTTGAGCCCCTGTTATGACCCCTTTAGTTAAAATGCTTCATGTTAAACAAAGGTAAAGTGCTTGGAATATTAAGTCATGTATGACCTGTCGAAGGCTTGATGTCACGTTAAGCTAAATTAACGTGTTGACTAATTTTTTATATCATATAGCCTGTTAAAAGATTAATATTATATTAAGCAAGAATAACATGATTGAGACAAATTTACGTAAATAGGATGCTAAGCAATAAATGACATGTTGACGAGAGATGTTGTATAGCATAGCATGTTAACATGTTACTGTCATGTTAAGCAGAATATGATGAGAATAGAACAAATATATGATATAAAAGCTTAATATATCTTGTTAAGCAAATAAATAAAATTCCCCCCAAAAGTTATATAACCTGTTAAAAGCTAACTATCATGTTGAGCCAATAACATGATAGAATAAAGCTCTAACTTATAACCTGTTAAAAAGCATTAAAAAAATACCATGTTGAGCAAAGCTAACATGCAAGAAAAAATATAGCATGATGATTTCTTACATCAGGTACCCAGTGTGAGTTCTGTTATACGATGTTCTCCCAGGCATATGGTGTTCTCCCTTACTTTGCTGTGAGACCCACGGTATTTGCCAAAACACTGCACCACCTCCATATGTTCTATTTATTTATTTTCTTAATAAAGGACAAACAGGTTTCTGTGTTATTTCTCTCTAGTATACCACAAAGTTGTACTGTGTGTGTGTGTGTATGTGTGTGTGTGTGTGTGTGTGTGTGTGTGTGTGTGTGTGTGTGTGTGTGTGTGTGTGTGTCATCCAAACGAATCCACTTTGATCTAAACAAAACTATGTATATATATATTTTTACACTTTTTAAGTCTTTTTACCGGTGTGACCTGGAATGGTAGGGAAGGTGTTGATCTGCCGAGCCTTCAGTGTTCAACAGTAAGTGGATAATGCTCTTGTTCTGACAGGCTGCTCGCTCACCATCAACAACCTCACCCGATTATTTACTCATGAACTGCTAAGTGTGGAAGGATTTGTGTAAAACGGAGCAACTGAGTCTTTTCAATTTGGTCGGGATTCGAGCCCTGGACCGTCCGCAGGTGAGGAGAATTATCTACCACCCATCTATCCACCTACCCACGCACCCACCTACCCCCACCCACACACACACACGGAGGGAGGGAGGGACGGTGGTGCTGTGATCCAGTTGGGATTTCAGGAGATTCAATCATAGTGACGTAGAGATTAATGAAGCTGCGACACATGCATCCTGTAATATTTGAGGGATTTATTCCAATGCTAACCAATTGCCTCGCCACCAATTTTACCTTAGTTAGATCTACTATGTACTTGTGGATATTCATGGTGAGTTGACTTTATCATCAGTACTTGTGTTGCTGATATTCTGCCATCTATTATTATTATTATTATTACTATTATTATTATTATTATTATTATTATGGCTGATTTTTTCTTTTGTCGTTATTTTCAGTATCCTGTATTTAGCTAATGACTTTTATTATTGTTTTGATTCTTGTTATTTATTATTATTGCGCTTTTATGAATCCTTGATATTGTTTTAAATTTTTAGGAAAACAGGAAGCGACGTCACTGGCTGACCGTGATGATGTAACAGGGCAACAGATTGACGTAATGGAGCAACACACTTTGACGTTCTGGGTAACAAAAGTGTGACTTCAAGGGGTGACTACATGTAACATCCCAGAGTAACAAAAAGGATTGCAAGGCGTAACAAAATATAGCGTGACATTGTAACAAAATGTGACGTCACAGGGTCACAAGTTACGTCATGGAGCGACAAACTTATATCTTTTGGCTATAAAGTGTCATGCCATTCGAATTATAATAATATGTAACGTCAAACAATGATAAGTGACATCCCGAAACAAGGGTAAGTAACGTTATAGAATATAAGTGACATCCCGGAACAAGGGTAAGTAACGTTATAGGATATAAGTGACGTCACTGAACAAAGGCAATTAAACATGAGTGACGTCACGAGGTTTCGTTTTAACTGGAGCAGAACGTCGATGTTGTTATGTTGGTGCGCTTCAACACCTAAGGCCTATACTGTAGCTCAACTGACAAACAAATCATCAAGAATACAATCTGAACCTAACGGAAATAATCGTCTTTTTTTACATGGCCGAGGTGACGGAGAACTACAGCCAAATACGGGCCAATTGTTGCCATCGAGTCGTAATTAAACCAAAAATTCAACTCAAAACATCCATTTACGTTAATTAAGGCAGACCATATAGCCCAGAGCCTGCCATAATGTACCCTTTTAAGAAGCTTATACTTTAATAACATAATACTCGTAATTACCATATATATTGTATACCAGTTACTGTATATGTAAGGACTCAGGAGTGTAATTAATATTTATTATACACAATAAACGAACGATGGCGTAATATAATTCATTTGTTTCTCCACATACACACCTGCTAATGGTCTAAAGGCATAACTCATTCCTCGTCTTGTTCCATTTCTGACTTAGGTGTAACAGATAATACTGAAAATAAGTCTTCCTATACTGCACTTAATTAAGGATATGTTTTGTATAACCCTACCATATTGCTCACATTTATTAGCTATGGCAGGAGACATCGGCAATCATCCTGGACAACTCCCACCCACCGTTGTCATTTCTTTGTTTACATTACACGGTGACAGACGGCCAATGAGTGAGGGTGACTGTCGGTGTGTGATCACATTATGGCTTTAAAAAAACTACAGTGAAATATCGTGGATATGGACCAGTGCTTAAAACGATTATAAAGGATGGTTTAACCTTGTTTACTCGCGTGAGTGAATAAACTAAGAGACAGAGTGACCAGTTTAACCAGATGCGGCTCTACCATGGCCACCATTTGCTTTGTGTATGCAGTTGGTAGGTAAGCTTGACTAACATTCATTTTTATTTTGCTCTCCCTCACGTATACCTGCTGTTTTGTATACACACTTGATTTTATTTTAATTGTTTATGTTATATACGTTAACTGTGTTGAAAAACAAAAAAGGCTTGTAGTGTTAGGTAGATGCAATATTGTGATGACGTGCTGGCAGCGTTGTGGTCGACGGGAAGTAAAAGGGTGTATTTTTTTTAAGTTCATGATACTTGGTAACTTACTAAGAAACATTTACAAAATGGGTTTTTTTTCATAATTACGAAGCTCTTTTTCTTATCGCAGTAACGCATAGGGAATTAGAAATTACGAATACACTATGCTAATTTAGTCACGTTGAGTCCTTACCGTGCGTCGTGTAGCTCAAGTGTTGATATAATGGGTCCTTCGAGACAGCTTCATTTGGTCATTTATAAAATATGATCGACCAGGCTAACCCAAACTAACTAAATGATCTAAGGTTATATTTTAGTTAAATAGGTCAGTTTGGGTCATGTCATTTATAAATGGTTAAATGCTTTGTTCTCACAGCTGCCATTTTTCAATAGCTCGGAATTCAGTATAAAAATTTAAACAAATTCAGGTTATTTTTCTTGCGTCTCCTGTAATAGGAAATATATTGTTTAGTAATTTTGTATAAGTAAATGTTTTAAAGGTTTGGTAATACTCTTGTGAAAGTGTACTTTACTATTGCCAAACAAATTAATTGCTACACCAAAGTGATGAATGAGAAATATGTCCGGTGCTGCATTTTTTTTTTATTAATTTTGCAGGATCTTCTGTGATATGTTTGTTTTAATGCATAGAATGTAAATCAGGGGAGAAGGGGAGGACGGGTTGGGAAAAAAACGTGTGAAACCATATATGAATCCTACTTCACTCACCCAACGATTGTTAGGGTAAAGGTTAGAAGTGTAGGTCAATTCTCGGGGTCTGCTTTGTAAATGACATTCACACGTTTATTTTGTTTTTGTTTTTTTTACATCCTCCCCCAATAGATTTACATTCTATGCATTAAAACAAACATATAACACACGATCCTGTCAAAAGTAAATATATGAATAATTTAAGGGAGTGGATTTTAACTTCGCATTTATCACGTCTTTTGTTATTGTTTGTATATCGTTTACCCTGACACTAACGTTGCCTTGCCACAATATTGGGTCGCATTAAAAAGGCAGTTGATGTGAGTTTAACATATAACTACGGTTTGCCAAGAAGTGTACAGTAGAGATGACAGAGTGAAAAATAGTGATTCAACAATGGCATGTGACTACTCAGGACAGCCCACACTTCTCCAGCTTGCTCCTGTAAACATATAAACATTCACACATCATAACTACATTAATTTACCTTTAAAAATTTATATTCGTGTTTTATTCATTTCGTTTGTTCACTGAAATCTACATTTTGTCACTTGGAACGGGAGGAAAAAGAATTACTTTGTCATGTTATTTCCTCATAGTGGTCTTGGTTACCTTTGACGCGTACAGCACTGTAGTAATTTTTGATCAAGAGGACACCGTAATTTTATATTTAGAGTTTGGGGGGGGGGGGTTACCAATAATGATGACAGACAAACCAAAACCAAACCACCAAAACCAATACCAAACCAAACCAAAACCAAAACCAAACCAAAACCAAAACCAAACCAAACCAAAACCAAAACCAAACCAAAACCAAACCAAACCAAAATCAAAACCAAACCAATCTCACTACTCTTCCTTCTCTTACCCCTCCTCCCCCCTCCTGCCTGCCTCACTACCAGACCTCCCACACCTACATACCAAACCCGCCTGACTGACTGACTTTACTTCACCTTAACATACCCAACCTAACCTAACCCAACCTAACCTAACCTAACCTAACCTAAATTAAGTTACTGGTATATACTGATTTAACTACACCCAGCTGTCGTAACCTAACCTAACAAACCTTCAACCGTAATCAAGCCTAATATATAACCTTAACTTACAAATATCAAATTAAACTTAGTCTAACCCAATTTTGGTTCTGTTAGATTAAGCTAAGTTGGTTGCTTCCTCACGTAACCTATGTTTGGTTAGATTAGGTTTGGTTGGTAGGTTTGTGTCTATTTATGGTGTATATACCGGATCTTGACCAGACCTAAGTGTCGTGTTGTCACCGTGTTGGAACAAAGGCTAATGACAAGTGATTCAGTAACAGGGATGATAAGTAAATTAATAAAGTAATTTGGTGGGAAAAGTAAATGAACTCGTTCTTGTCCGAATATATTTTGTTATATATTGTAGTTGGCTCTTATCACTCAACATAAAAACCCGATTAAGATGTAAAACTGGTCTCTCATTACCCATTGGTCAGTACCTGCACTGTTTTTCCTTTATGTTTTTATATTTCTTCAAGCTATTTGTCATAATTTACATTAATGTTATGTTCAAGCGTAGCGGTTGTGTCGTGTGTAATGAGGATAATTCAGGTAGGGTTGAGGTAAATGCAGTACTTGCGATCTGGTTCTTATTTATACTTTATAATTTGTGATGAATTGTTGCCTCTTTTTCTCGTTCTATTTTAGCAGTAGGTGGGAGGTCATGGCAGGGGGGTATATAGGCTAGGCTTGCTTCATGACGTGATCTAATTAATCAGTATTGTGGCGCTAGCAAGGTTGTAAGGATATCATTTGAAAACTTTATTTTTTAAGTAGCTGTTAGAAATATTACGTCTCTCATGCTCGGGACTTAGAGATTACTAAATAAAGTTAATCCTTTCGTATTGGGGAC